CCTTAGTAACGGCGCTTACATCTTCATAGAAGCCGGCAATCATAGCAACATGGCCAGGGCGGGATTCAGTTGGCATACGAGTGTGAGAAACACCAAAGGTACCATCGTTAAGCGCCTTTTCACGAATGAATGGGGCCAAGTAACCAGTTTCCCCAGTTGTGGGATGAGTAATATTATCAAAACATTTATCAGCACGCATTCCATCACCGACGATAAAAAATAGACGTTTTGCCGGCGCTGGGGCCGTATTGGAGGTAGCTTGATGGTGCTTCATGCCATGGACTAAAGGACTAACAAAGTAAATATCAAAGATAGACCATAAGAATGCAATATGAAACAGGATTCCCACAAGAAGAAGTGGACGTTGGCGGAGTAAATTCATTTTCTAGTGTATTATACTATCACTCTCATGTATCTATTTCCGTATTTATACTTAAAGTCGACCTTATTTACTGGTATAGAAAGATGTACTATTGTGAAGAACTATCAGAGAACGATAGAGAGTACGTCAGCAATTAAGTCAATGATTGGGCTGAAAATAATATATTAGATCAAATATCTAAATATAAAACTTATCAATGAAGCCCCGTCGATAAAATCTCGAATTATTTGATGATATAAATAGATCTATACAAAACCCTTAAATTCCTAAATAGGCTTTTAGTGGGGAGATAGATCCGTGCCTTGGTGGTTACTAAGTACTTTATGGGGTTAAAACTCCCAACATAAATATATTGTGAAAAAATCAAAATACTAATAATGATAGCCACGTGTAGTTTAGTTGAACACAAATAGTTTGAGAGTTTAGAACGGATTTATACAGTTTCACAAGTATTTTAAGCATTAGCAGCTATATATCATGCGTAAATAAATATAAATTCATATATAACCAAAATCTTAGACAAAACTTCAGATTGTTAAATAACATTACTGCGATTTGAATCAAACTTCTTTCTTACTTCGAGATAACTGGCTATAACCTCTAAATGACCATTAATGGCTTTCGCCCAGTTTCCCTTGACCTCATAGTCTAACCTCAACGCTTTCATGTACTGGCCTGTTCCTTCCGTTGATTTTAGTAACTCTAAGCTGAATTTTTGATCGGCCTCGGCTCGCTCTTTATGATACTGAGTCATTTTAAACGCATAGTCATTCCAGGAAGTCTGGTAGATCTCCATTAGCTTTCCATACTCAGCTAACTCAATTTCACTAAATGATGCAGGTAAAGCTGCGGGTCTGAGTGGGGGCACTAATGACAAGATCGTTATTGAGTTATGAAGATCCACAGTGTCTCTGTCAGACCGAGGCGAAGTGCTTCCAGAGTTCCCAATTGTCGGGGTTTGACGGTGCGCGAATCGCTTATTAGTATTCACTGCTGAAAATAGTGTATTTGGTCTTTTTCCAGTATTATTGATACTTTCGGCTAGATCACGTCGTAAATTTTCCGTCTGATCGCCGGAAGGAGTACTGTGGGCCCGTTTTGGTATATCAGCGGGCATCGGACTATCAGCAGGCTCTTGAGTTTGAATATCGTCCAGTATATTACGCATATCAAAGTTACCGTATGTCTGACTTAACGGTGGAACATCTATTAAGCTATCTAGGGACATTTTACCCTTCGCCAAAGTTTCTTCATTAGTACTTGGTTTCAACGGAATATTACGTGCTTCTACCGGGTCTATCGATCCTATTCGTGTTTTTTTTTTGGCTGGAAGCTTCTCGCTATGTTCTTCATCTTCATCACTTTCCAAAACTATTGGACTATTGTGTTTTTCAAAATTGCTGTTTGGCATCTTTGTCGTTGGCTCATAATACCGAGCATCCATCCGTTTGTATTTTTGCTCGACATTTGGATTATATGCATTACTAGAATCTTCGGATGATTGCTCATTATCTGTTTCCGTTTCTGTTTCCGATTCCATTGACGGCTCACTGCCAGCCGTCTCGGTTTCCTCCGTGAGATCCACGAAGTCGAATTTAGGGAAACTATCCGTACATTTCACACCATTATTTTTGCTGTTGATATATGTGTTGTAATCATCGTCTGGGAGTATACCTTCAGTTCCTCCAGATCCCTTTGGTGGTACAAAGATATTTCTTTTTTTCACAGGTACATTTTCTTCTTCTGTATCATAATAGCCAAAGGCTTTATGTTTTACACCCTTATTTTTGGGTATATTTTTACTGGTTTTACTAGCGGTATCGGATCTTGAACTTGTCGGGTCGGGTACAGCGAATTTCACGGGTGGTCCATCTTCAGTAAACAGATTATTACCAACAGAAGTGTTGGATGTATCATTCGTAAAATTCCGAAATTCCGATGTCTTATCAATATCTACTTTATTATTATTTTTAGTACTACCAAATTGATACTTTCCGGATGTGTTGAATGAGGTATCATGACTGTTGGTGGAAGCATATGAATATTCGGTCTTTGATCGGGTTGAAAAGTTGTTGTTCGTGTCTTTATACTCAAAATCCCCCTCTGTAGCTGTTTTATCACCCTCAAGATCGGAGGCGGAATCATTGTTGTAATATTGAGGATGGTGTCGCTGCTTTTGGGGTTCCTGTTGATACTGATAATATTGGTTTTGTTTTTTGCTAGGCGCAGAAGTAGAACTTGATGGCATTTGATTCGCGTTATTTTTAGAAGGTTTCTGGCTATTCGGCTGGGTTTTGGCATTTTTCCCGTTGCTATTACTATTTTGTGTATAATTTCGCGATCTACTCCAGCGTGGCGGAATACTACCGTCGGGATCAAGGCCACCACCAGCAAAGCCGAACCCTTCATCATAATTATCGTAAGCTTTGTAAGCTCTTGGTTTAAAATGATCGCTCCTAAAAGCAGCAAAATAGTCTTGAAAAAAGGGATTGACGGGCCTTCGTCTTTCATCAAATCTTGCTTGAAAGGTAGATGCCCCACTAGAATGAGGGTATGTAAATGAGGTATAAGCATATGATGTTGTACTACCATTATTAGAATTAGAATAGGTATGGCGATTGTGTTTAGTGAATTTAGTTGTATTATTATTTTGATAATTTGTAAACGGTTGAGTAAATGAAGTCGATGATGTATTTTTCGGTGTAACAGGCCGTGTTAAATCGTACTTTTTTCTATCCACAGAATTCGAAAGCACATTATAAGCGGATACAACTGATTTAAATATATCATGAGCCGATGAATCTGGATTTTTATCCGGATGATATTTTAATGCTAAATATTGTCCATGGTCAGTAAATCAAGTAAAAATACTTCGCCAATAGTCATGTTCAACAGGACACGTACAAACACCTTAAACCCAGAGACAAAAGAACTTACCAAGTTTTTTATAAGCTTTCTTAATATCAGACTCATTACAAGCGCTATCAACACCCAATATATTATAGTAGTCGGGTAATGGTGTTGACATTGTAAAATCTCATGGCGTTTTATCATCAAAGAGCCATTGTGTTTGCCTCATGCGGATGGGGAATATAGGTCATTCCCAACAGGTTATACTCCTAAACCTCTAAAAAAATTTGAGAGATTCCATAGCTTTGAACCTTTGTCCAAACGCATTTAATATATTGATTATAAAGCAAATTACCATTTCATAAATATGATACTAATCTATATATTTAGTTAAGTTACATGCCTTAAAAACTTAGGTCTGCCTCAAGCCAATGAGTCAACCAAGAGATTTTACATCCTAGTGATTTGCAAACACCATTACTTTCTTTATTATCGGTCTCAACGTCAGCATGAACCCATTTCCATTGCGGAGTAGTCTCAATAACGGAGTCTGACCCTTTTTTACCGTAAACATCAAACATTTTAGTGTTTACTAGTTGAATAAAAACTCTCTTGGCTAGACCCTGTTCCCTGTATTTCTCGCGAACGTAGAGAGTGATTAAGGATCCATCCAATGATAAAAAACACCACGCAGCGGCTTCATTATTAATCCTATCATGTAGACAAATATTTAATCTTTGTAACAATAAACTTTTATCGCGAGGAATTTTAGATGTTCCGACTATAGTTTCTATACTAGCGTTATCAGCTGACTTAGCATAGTATCGATCATAACCCTTGTTTTTCTTCACATCAGCTAGGTCTTTCTCGCTCGTGATAAATACTTGTTTGTAATATGCTGGTGATACACGGGTAATGTTGTCAGTTTTTTTCATGATCTCAATAAACGACTGATGGACTGCACCAAATATAACGGGTTTATCTGAACTAATTCCGTAACCATTATTCTTATTGAGAGCTCTTATAAAGTTGAATAAGCCTTTGAAATGAGCTGTCAGAATTTCATTCTGAGTAATCGATGCGGTGGAATCTGAGTCGGCGCTTGAAGCAGATCTCTCGTACGACGAGTATATCCAAACATTTGTACCAAATGTATCGAGGTCTATGTCGATCTCGGCTACCATAAATGGCTCATCAGGTGGTATTGATTGAAACTCGGTGCCTTGACAGATTAGATTTTCTAGTTTGCAATTTGGAGCATCAGTTTCAGTGAGCACGTCGAAACCTCCTTCATTTTTAAAATTTGCCGGGATTTTGGGTCCTTGATTTTGGGCGAATGTGGCTACGACAACTGTATGTGGAGACCTGGGAGGGCTTTGCACTCGTCGAAATAATGGCAAGGACTGTGGTAGCTGCAGCTGTAGAAGTTCTACTACGGTCTCGCGGTCAATTATATGTAATTCTTCAAACTGTTTTATGGTGTTTATCATTTTAAATAGATAATAGTCAAACTATAGTTTACTTTTTGGGCAAGCTGACCATATAAATAACTAGAGCTCAAATCTTAGGGGCAAATCTCACGACTCTTATTTGGCATGTCGATTCGGCGCGATAAGAGAAAAGGCTATCCGGACGGCGTACAGAAAGAATATGGATAACAACCATACTAAAAAAAATCTTTTTTTTACATTATCAATAACCTGAAGGTTTGAGGGTGAGAGGCGCTAGTCAATCAATAACTGAAGCTTTAAAAATAATTGTAAAAATATGCTCCCTGGGAGGTTCGAACTCTCGACCTTCAGATATACCTGAAGAAAATCTAATATGAGACTGACGCTCTACCAACTGAGCTAAAGGAGCAGTTTCGTTAATAGCCGTGCAGAATTTTATTTTTCATCTATTGGTCTTTTTTATTACTTAGCTTTAGTCTTTGCGCTCGTTTTTTTTGTTCGCTTATTTATACAGATACTATGTTGGATACCCTACCCTATATATAATATTTAATGTATTTAATCAAGAAATTCACTCTTCGTTATTGCTTTTTAACTTAGTTATATATTTAAGGACTATAGAAAGGCAATTCAAGTATGTGTAACTAGAGACGGGGATTGAGACTTCGCGAAACCTCTAAATATCACAATCTTTTTGATCTGAAAGGTAAAATTCAACGGTCTCTATTTAGCGCTCAATTTTAAACAAAATGTAAAAGAAACTGGTCATATAACTTACCATTTAATAGTAAAAAGGAACCGATGTAAACATCTTCCCTTTCAACTTAATACTAGATTAGCTAGAAATTGATATTATTTTGTCGATTTCGAGATTAGACAACTGAATCTATTTTAATTGCCCAGGAGTGCTCGTTCACCTTGTGGAGTTAGACAAATAGAATTTTCCGACCCTTGAAGATCTCGAAGTCTACCGTTCATATGAAAGAATTCTGTAATTATACCAACTGAAAGCAGAGGAGCGTGTTTGACTTTTTTTCATACATATATATTTATATATCTATATATCAAAATAGGGACTAATATACATGTTAGAAAAAAGTTAATAAAAAAGCAAAAAAAAAAAAGAACAAAAAAGGTATTATATATAAAGCAATAAAGAAACAAAGACTAAGAAAACTACTATGAACAGGCCAAGGAAAAGAAAGAAAAAAGAAAAGGAGAAACTCAAAAGGAGGTCAAAAAAGGAAAAAGAAGGAAAAAAGTACAAAAGTCATTGTTTTTTTAATTTTTTTGTTTTTCAGATTTTTATTAGTGAGACGTTTTTTTTTTGAATTGATTGATTGTTTTTTTGGATGGTTATCTAGAACATTAAGAGATTAGATGATCTAATTGATTGAGAAATATGGGGATGCTAAAAGAGAAGATAAGGAAAGAAGAATAAAAGCGTACACATAAATTAAGTCTAGGTAGACTTGGGAACAAAGGGTACAGCTTCGGCGACATTAAAGTTGATCCTGGCATCATCATCAAGCTCAGTAACCGAATCAGCTTGGTCCTCTTGAACAATTTGATTCGAGGTAGAATCTAAAGCAGTCTCGGTGACAGATGAAGTAGAAGCTACTACATGAGTTGCACCGGTGTCAGCGGGGTCAACTGTTTGATCAAAAACAGTTTTTGTGTTAATATTGGTACCGTCATTATCTTCATCGGAACCCGCGGGCAACCGTTCGGCCATAGGCAAAACCCATTGATCCCAGTGAAGCTTGGGGCGGATTCTATCCCCAATGACCTCTAGATTTGCACACCATTTGGTGGCTTCAAATAATAGGTTATAGTCCCCTCCCGTGAGAGATTTCACACGGTTGAAATTAGCCAATGTTGCCAGAGGAAACAAACCCATTGAATTCATTTGACGGCGCATAAAAAGATCTTTGCATAAGTTATCAATGCTGAAGTAGTATTCAATTTGAGCAACAATAAGGCCGATAACATACTCAAATTGTCCAGAAACGGCAAACTGATTGCTATTGTTATTGCTGTTGTACAGCGAAGGATTATTGAAGTCATTTCCAGTGTTCACCATGTTAGAATGGTAGTAATTTTTGTAATTGTCACCATTAGGGTGGGAATGTCTACGGTTGTTCATTCCACCATTGTTATAGTTGTATCCATAGTTATTTCGATTACCATAGCCGTTGTTGTTGTAGTAGTTGTTGTGAAATCCACTATTCGAATGAGCTACCCCACCATTATTGTTACCGTTTGGATTGTTATTGCTATTATTGTGACGGAAGTTTCGGGATTTTCCATTAGTATTTGAGGATTTTTGATGCGTTGTATATGACGATAAAGCCGTCTGTTCGGGTGATTCAGAGGTAGGGTTTTGATTGCTGGGGGCAGGAATAGTCAAGTCAACAGTAGAAACAACTTGTTCGGATGAGCTAGAGTCATTAGGCTTGAGGGAAGTTTTTTTTTCTTTAGGCTTTTCAGCGCCATTATGCTTTTTATTCGAGGTATTTGTAGAGTTTCGATTGGCGTTCTTAGAGTTATTCGTGGAGGCAGAGTTGCTAGCAGAGGTGATATTGTTGTGATTGGATCGGCTAGCTCTCTCTTCATTTTTGTTGTTACTCCTAGCACCGCCCTTAGAACGGGAGGCCCCACTCTTGGTTGCGTGTGTGGAGGTGGCACCCGATGTTGAAGGAGAAGACGAGGAATTTACACTGATATTGGGCGCATAAGGCATCCATTTGTCGGATTTACCGTTACCTCGAGCTTTGATCAGAGGGGCAGCCAAGGGTTGTTCAGAATCAAGTTTTAATGTAACACCTGTCTTAACACGGGCGACGGGTTTCCATGCGTTTACTTTAGGGGCAGGGGCAGGGGTTAAGTTAACTGGCTTAGTGGCAGAAGAGCTAGGTGAGGAGGCTTCCAAGTCAATTTCGGCAGGGTCAAGATTAGGAGTTGAGGGAGCGGTTGAATTGTTTTCAGGTGACGATGGTGGTGACGATGGCAAGGATAAAGCAGCGTTGTTGGCCTGCTTTGGGTTCTGCTGTAGTGGTGAGGGGGTGGAAGTTTCCAATTCGGGCTCATTGGATTCAGAACTCGATGGTTGTTGAATGTCGTTGTTTGGTGTAGAGAGTTGGCATGATTCGGGGGCAGGTTCGTTGGAGGCTGAGCCAGCAGCGGTGGCATATGAGAGAATTGACATTGCAATGGACGATTCGATAAAAGTGTGGTTGGAAATTTATTTTCAGCGTGCTAGATGAAAGCAAAGTGAGATGGTTAGTGCACTGACAATTTGGAGATGAGAAGAGGAAAAAACTACATGCGTGACAGCAAAAGAAATCCGGGGAAGGGCAGATTAATCGGGCAAGTTTAAAGGGGGGGGGGCGCCGCGAGCAGATGCCAGAAGGTAGGCCAAGCAAGCGGTAAAGGATCTGCCAAAGGTACTTTTAAAAACCGATCAATACTGTGATTGAAATTGTAGCTGTAATTGGCAAGAGTAGCAAAGGCACCTAGCCCGACATACGAGCTTGTTTCAACGTTCCGAGTGCAACATTTCCAAAAAAAAAAAAGACAGGGGAAACCAACAAACGTACCGAAAGACCAAAAGAATATAAATCTTTTAATTCTTGTGCGAAGAAGAGTGAAAAAAGTAAGGCTATGATAAATATAATAAGCGCGCGAGTGACCGGTTGACTATTTCAGGGCTGAAAAAAAGGAAGCGGTTAGGGATCTTGAACGGGAATCCAAAAAAACTGGTAGACCCAAAAGCAGCGACAGTGACTGATAAAAAGCGTCAGGGGCGTAGGGAGAAGGCACGAGGGACTTTGAGAATCCAATCAAGAGGCGAAAACAGGATTGATTTATATATTTTTTTTGAAATAGAATCAAAATTCAATTTAAAAGAATCGGGTTTGGCGGGTAGCGGGTTCTTTAGAAGCGAGAATAAGCGGTTAGAGCTGATGAATTACTGAGAAGCGGAGCCGGAAATTCACCAACAAAAAAATAAAAAATAAAAAAAATTCAGATATTTTTGGCCAGAGACAAGAGAGTTTAGGTAAAGTTGGCTCTGGAGTTGGGAAAAAACCCTGAGAAATTAACACATTCTACAAGGAGAAACTAACAAGTTCTTCCGCCCACTCGTCCCCGAAGGAATTATAGTAATATACACTTTTATGGTTTACTAGTCTCTATATAGCCTATACATATTTTGAATTTTATTTTCCTCGTAACCAAGCGAAATTGTTCAATTTATGGGCAAACGCGCACTTGCTAATGATTGTGACCACTCTCTTCTGGGGCAGATCCTGCGACAGATTCCCTTCCGGGGCTTGATCCACCACAACACCACAACCGCTGGGAATCTCTTACTTTTTTCGGCCCTAGCATTAAATGTACGCGTATGGACGTCTCTATTCGCATATGGCTCCGTTTATTTCGCTAGACCCCTTGTATATAGCTTGCTGGATGTTTATCTCTTTTTCTTTATTTGTACGTCACTCTTCCCCTGGTAGGATTCAGCTCGGCATACTCAAATGTACACCAGCTCATGGCTTAGTCATCCGAATTCTGGACGTCCCGTCAGGATGCGAGAACTGATCTTTGTTAGATATTAACGAACTAACCGGTATATTTTACAAGATTCCCGTCTAAGACAGAGATGAAGTTTACCACCAAGGCTATGGCCGATGCCTTCAAGATCACCCCACGGGCGCCCCGTAAATCTTTTTCTCCTATTTTGCCCCCGATCGCCCTGTACCGCCGTATTCTAAGAGCCCACAGCCAGCACCTGCCTCTACCACAACGTTTACTCGGGGACCAGTATGTGAGCTCGGAATTTCGCCTGCACAGGTCCATGGACAATCCGTCGCAGATTGTCGCTTTTTTGAGCACCTGGCAAAAGTACGTTGCCTCTCTCGAGGCTGATAACTGGAAGCACGAGTCGCTGGACTGGCTATCGGTATCCAAGCTCAACAACGAGCAAGTGATTCAGCTTTACGAACTTATGCAAGCTGCCAAGGGCGAAAATTCAGAGTACCAAATCGACGAAAAGGCCAGTCCTGACGCTCAGCCCGAACTACCGGCCTGGTACCGTAAGCACCGTGACCGAAGTTGAGCTCGGCACTGGAAATTAGTTAATGAGTAGCGTCTGGGCAAACAAACAGCTTGATCACAACTTGCCAAACCTTTTGATTACCATAATATGGCTGTTTGTATCGATCCTTGTGTGGTTTTTAAAACTAAAAGAGCCAAAAAACGGCCCTCCGTTACTGATGTTGGTGTAATATTAAACCAAAAAAGAGAAAAACATACCCGCCAACCTGTATATATCTTTTGATAATTTTCTATTATTCCTTACTACCACCAATCCCAATATATTTTATCTATAAACTATCCTGATTTATC